TGAAATTAGAAAACAGTGATTTGAAAGAGTCTTCTGAGAAAGTAGCTACATGTGAGCAAAACCACAAAAAATTATTCGGCCTTTTAAAAGCTTCAGACCTTCTTCAAAACAAGTCACAGAGAGATTAAATTATGTGTACTGGCCAATCAAAAAACTACACACTTGACTACAACATGGAGAAGCATAGGAATCACTGTAAAGAACAGGGTGAACATAATCAAACATTTCCCATCTGGTTTGATTCCAAAGCCAGAGTCCCCAAATTACCGGCCTGTGGGAAAACACTGCTAGGAACCTGAATCCAGAGTTCACACCTCTTAAATAGAGGAACTACATTAAATTCACCCCAAAATGCACTTATTCTGGTGGGCAGAGCCTCCCTCAGAACTTCCCATACTGTCTGTGGTTACTCCATCCCAGTTCACGTCACAGACGAGAAACTGTGATGAGATGTGATTGGCACCACTTGCCAAGCACCTCGGCCTGACGTTTTATACACCAGAGTGTACCTGATGCACAGAGGCTTACTTGACGCTTATCGCATCCTCTGCCCTGTATCCCTCTTATCAATGCACTACTCAAGCAACAGTGTAGTATGCCAGGCAGCAGTACATTTCCAGCACCCATAAGCATTTTCGCAAAATCTCCTTTCACCTGGAGCATGCATTACTTCTGTTCTCTCAAGCAGCTGAGTACTCAGAAGATCCAAACACTCAGATGCCAGGTCCTCTTTTGAGAGTTTCTGTTTATGGTAATTCTTGTCCTGCAGTGGTGATAGTGCAAAGGCATAGATACGAATGCATTTAAGCACACACATTTAAGTCAGGAAACTTAAGCATAGAAACTTAACCACGGTTAAGAAACAAGTCAGTAAATATCAAAGTGGTATATAACACATTTGTTAATAATTCCATGGAACATATAGTAAAAGTAATGCTTAAATTTTTGCACAAACATGTAAATGCATGCATGAATATATTTCAAAGTGTAAGCTTTCTATCTATTTTCCCTGGACAAAGTATGCATGGATTTCACTTCCTTTCTTTAAGGAAAGCACATACTTTATATTGAATTAACACGGAATTTTAATTATTTCCTTACTTATCAAAACAAAGTAAAACATTTTCTTTTCCCATAGATTCTTTCCTGTAATCGGAAGTCATTCTGAAAGATTTCCAAAAGTATTTCAATTTATGCAGGCATGCGCTCAAATACAGTATTAAAAGCATGAGGAGTATCTGGGGCTAGCCAGGCAAACATAAGAGCACACTGATCTTGACAATATTAGAAAACAATCTTCCAGAATGCAATGCTTCCTTGACTTGTTACAATGCCATGGGAGCACCAGGAAGAACATGATCATTCTGTGCATTTTGTAATCCAAAGTTACTATGAAATGGTTACTTTGTTGATGTAGAAACAAGAAAGGTGGAAACACTCACAAAGAGGCGTTGATACTTTAGGGCGTAGTTCTCTTCTGTCTGTCTTGTTCTACGTGTTTTCTTTGCTTTCCTGTACTCAGTCATGCGTAGCCCTTAAGTTAGAACAGTGTGAATTGATAATACAATTTATGTGCCAATGCAGCTACTGGTGAGCCATGCAGAACAGAATCACACCCTTAAAACCTGAAGACATCTTTGATGAAAGTTCACAGAGCAACGACCTAATGCACAATTTACAATCAAACCAACAAACAGGTCTAGAAATCACCATTTAACGTATCTGAGAAGTGACCCCAGGAACGTAGGATGAGGTTTGGTTGCAAAACCAGTTTCTACATCACAGAGGTTTGTAGAATGTGCCTCGACCTGATGTTTTACTGCACAGGGTTCTTGCTTCCTGTGGGATTGCTCAAGATTTAACCCATCCTCGGCCCTGAGTCCCTGTTATCACTAGAGTATTAACACAACATCGTAATATACCAAGCAGCAGTACGTCTCCATCACCCATAAGCGTTTTGAAATCCCCTTTCACCTGGGACATCCATTACTTCTGTTATATTAAGCAGCTCAGCACTTAGAAGATCCAAACATTCAGATGGCGGGTCCTCTTTGGAACGTTTTTCTTTATGGCAATCCTCATCCTACAGAGGTGACAGTGAAAAGGCATAGGTAAAAATAAATACATGTTTAGATTACACATTTTATTCTGTGTGGACACCTAGCTGTGTTTAAGACTAAAGTCAGTTATCCCAAAATGATAACTAGTAGATTAATTAAAACTTCCATTGAATTTGGTAAAATATACTCTTAATTTTGCACAAACATGAAAATATATTTCTGAATGGAAAGTTTCCATATATTTTGCTTGGACAAACTATGTGTGGACTTCATTCCTTTTCTATGGAGAAAGCTTATACTTTCCATTTACTGTGGAGTTTTCCTTGTTCCTTACTTATCAATAAAGTCAAAATGTTACTCTTCCCACAATGACTTTTTCCCAAAAGGTCACCTCAAGTAATTTACAAAGTTGTTAGAATCTATGCAAGCAAGGACTCATATCTATTCTAAGAAGCATGAGAAGGAATTCCTTGCGTTAAACTAGGGGGAAGCAAGAGCACACTGCTCTTGGCAATACCAGACATTAATCATCCACAACCAATGTTTCCTTGAGTTGATTACAATACCATTCCAACACATGGAAGACATGACCATTCTGCACATTCTAATCCAAAGGCATTATGGAATACTTTGTTGAAGTAGAAACAAGAAAGGTGAAACCACTCACAAAGAGGCGTTCGAAGTCTTGCACATAGTCCTGTTCCTTCTGTGCTTTTCTAAACCTCACGTTCCTTTTTGAATACTCACTCATGTTTCACGCTTAAAAGAGAATATTGTGAACTAGTTTCATTTATACATTCATGTAGCTACATATTAGGTACAGATCAAAATTCACCCTTAAAACCTTAAGACATTTTTGGAAAATTTTCACAGAGTAATTTTGTCATGTTTAATTCCCTGTCAAACCAATTACACATTTGCTAGTTCAGAGCCAACAGGCATAGAAATAGCCTTTTAACGCATGTGACAAATGACACCAGGAACGTATGATGAGGTTTTGTTGGAAAACCAGTTTCTACATCACAGAGGTTTGTAGGAAAATACTGCTAGCGAATGGAATCCCCACTTTGCACTCTGTCCATGTACTAGGTCCAACTCCCTTGAAATAAACATACTCTGAAGGTATGGCATTCCTCAATAAACCCTTCAAAATCTGTTACTGTTCTCCTCACTCCCCACTGCAGAGATGAGAAGTCGAAATGGAGTGAGTATGATACCTCTCACTCTACTTCACTGCCTGTACCCCACAGCACCCCCACCCCCACCGAACCTTGTTCAGGATTTGTGCTCATCGCCCCAACACACATGCTCTGCTCTGTGTATCTTCCTAATTGTTGAGAATCTGCTCTGGGAACCGTTGCCAGAGCCCCTGGGACGAACATACCCCCAGCACCTTCCCCAAGCCTCACCCCAACCTCACTGACACCCCACAGGATCCTGCCCTGTCCCAACCACACCACAAGGACAAGGGGCCCGGCAATGCGCCCCCTGAGGAGAAGGGGACCTCTCCTTTCCCTCACAGCACCATGACATTCAGCACCCCAATCCTCCCTCCTCCTCCTCACACCCACACTTCAAATTCTAAGAAAGTCAAGACAGAAACCAACTAAGTGTCTCTTACGTGCTCAGAAAGAATGAAGATGGAACAAAATGGAAGACGCAGCTTTCCAGTCAGCGGTGTGCGGGAAGCATGATTGTAGCTAGGCGCATGCGCAAATAACTGACACCTCTACTCCAGGGGCATGCGCAGCGATTGTGGCGCCTGGAAGATTTCCGGGTTGTGCTTGGGCGAAGCGGAGGTGCTTTGAAAGGCACAAGTGTCCTAAGCGAAACTAGGGGTTCAATGTGGGGATGATGGAAAAGTCCATTTGTTATTTGGTGTCTGTGAGTGGATGAGGGTGTGAGGTGGGAGTGTTGCTGTTAAACATTTTTTGGTTTGTTTGTTTTTACCTGCAAGTAAGTGATCAATGGGGTTCTTGAAACCCTGATGATTTAGGATCTAAAACAAGACCATCTGGACTAAAAGGAAGCTTTGCATTTGATCCACCTACACAGCCAGATAAGTTTCCCAGTAATATGCAATTCTGCTCTAAAGGTACATAGTAGCTCCTGGTGTCACTCTGTACACAGCAGAAGCACCTCACCACAAGATCCTTTCAAAGCACAGCCCCAATAAGCATATCTCATAGCTCATAGCTTAAGCACCTCCGCTGGCTTCCCATATTTTGATAAAAAAAATATTTTGAGAGCACATAAATAATATACATTTGCACAAAATCAGAAAGGTTCTTGATTGGAGAATTTTGCTGCAGACCAGGAATATGCAACTGGGGGCTCATAGAATTAAAGTATAAACTTAACCAATGTCATTCCCAATATGAACCAATTTTATAAGTCCTCGCCTTGCACGCACTGGGATCCCATATGAGCACTGGTTCTATTCATGGCTACCCTGCCTCCCTTCCAGCTCCCTGCTTGTGGCCTGGGAAAGCAGTCGAGGACGGCCCAAAGCCTTGGAACCCTGCACCCGCTTAGGAGACCCGGAGGAGGCTCCTGGCTTCAGATTGGCTCAGTTCCAACCATTGCACCCGCTGGGGAGTGAATCAATGGACAAAAGATCTTCCTCAGTCTCTCTGCATCTCTGTATATTCTATTTTCCAATTTAAAAAAAGTGACAAAGTTCTGTGTCATCGGAATAGAGAAGCTTCAACTGTTTCAGTAAACTCAGCATGTACTCATACAGTAAAACCAGTCAACCAGAGCATGATGAAATTTACTTCTGTAGCAAAAAATGTGTCCATAAAACTGCAATAATTATGATGGAATGTGGAGAATTTTCATTTCTGATCATAAGAAAGAGATTTTACTCTTACCAGCGTCATCCATATTCTATGGGTGGTAATGTTTACTGTGATAAATAAAGATGAGATTCAAGGTATGAAGTGGCACCAATTTATTATTCAAAGAGAAGTATGTGTGATAGAAGACCAAAACAGAGAAACTTTTCAGATGACTAGGTTTAGTTGGCAAGTTGATTAGGTAGGAATTGATGTCTAAGCAATCCTACGAACTGGCTGAAATGGTAGACTATAATAAAAGCTTTCAAGTGGATACATTTTTCAAGATTATGTTGATATAATAGAAAACATTCTATAAATTGTGCAGATCTAGTTTGCAGAAAACAGTAAGACTTATTGAGAACGTTAGCAGCTGCGTTTCCAGACTAGAACAGTGCCTGCATGTTTTGCTTCAATCTCCCATAAATCTTCTTTGAAGCCTGTGGTTGTTGCCCTTCACCTGTGATAGAAACAATGTTAGGGCACATTGCTTAGCAGAACTCCGTTTAGGTGACTCTACAGAAAGCGCACTGCACACTTGAAGGCCTAAAACTCACAGACTACGGATTACATCCGATTAACAAATGACCAGAATGATTGTGTATTAGAATTAACAGTAGTTTACTCACATCATTGCATGAATAATGAAATAATCAAAAATAATAATGAATAATAAGAATACTTCGCCATGAGAAAAATTAAATCATGTGCTTCTATTTAAATCAGCTGTCAATATAAAGCAAAACAGGAATGCACTGCACACTTTCATTCACTGGAAGCCTAAGCACGTGCTCGCACTGCGTCAGGATAAGCCGCTGCCTGTGATGCTGCATCCCCTACAAGCGTGCCTGTTAGAGCTTCGGCTACTGCATTTCTGACCCGAAGGAGTCCAAGTGGGGAGAACACAATGGAGTTCCTGTCTGCTGGATTCACCTGGCCCAGACCAGGTGGCCATCTCACAGGCAAAGGGAACCAAAGAAAACCATGCTCGGATGCTTCTTGTCTGTGCCGTCTCTCTGCCTCTCTCACACTCTGCCTTCTCAGCATCGGAACAGATAAATCTCCAACGACCCCCAACAACAAAAATGCTATGAAAAAACACGTTTGATTAGAATTATTTACTTCATGTGTTATATCACTCCCAGTACAGGCTTACACAATGTGATTTTACTTTCCAAGGCAAAAACAACAAATAAACAAAAACACAAAACGGTCAGCATTATGCATGATTTGCTTATCTTATAGGGAATTTCAAAGTGTGTCCTTAGGCTGAGTGGTTCCTTTATTAGCAAAGAAACCGCTGCACATGTTCAAGGCTGATTTTGGCTACCAATGAATTGAATCAACACAAGAGCCATAACCATTATCCTAACAGAGGATGTCAAAGTATAAACTATTATAAGTATTAATAGATTTGTAACAATTGCGTACAATGGCTCAATTAACTAACCCTCCTTCTTCTACAAGCGGCAGCATCCCCTGTGGGTGCCAGTTTGTGTGAGGCTACTCCACTTCCCATCTAGTTCCCTGCTTACGGCCTGGGAAGGCAGTGGAGGAAGGTGCAGCCTTGGGACCCTGCACCCTTGTGGAAGACCTGGAAGAAATTCTGGCTCTTGGCTTCAGTTCAACTCAGCTTTGGCCATTGGTCGCACCATTTGGGGAGTAAGCAGTGGGTGGAAGATCTTTGTCTATCTTTCCTTCTCTCCAAAAATCTGTCTCTCAAATATATACAGATACATATTTATATATTTTGTTGATTTAATAATAAATAGCTTTAATATTCTGCAGCATGCATGTTTATAAATGCATATGTAATGCACATATAATCTATGCATACACATGCATATATACACATATATGCATACATATATAATTTGCACATGTGTACATATTTATACGTGTATATCAATGCATTTATATTTAAAACATGTGATTTATATATAAAATATATTATGTTATTGTATATAATATATATGTATTATATGTATAAATCTTTTAAAAATTCTGACAATCACACCTCAACAAACCAATGTGAAAATCATTAGGGTTTATTCTTCTCAATTATACTCAAAAGCAACGAAAGGATTTCATCCTTTTTTCAAGGTTCATCATGAAAATTGTATACACTTAGCTTTCAAGCATATGCCTGTGGAAGAATGGTTAGTTTATATATAACAATCTGATGCATTATAGCAGTAGGTATTATTTTCATTGACACTCTTATAATTTACTCTATTAACATCTTTCATATATTTTATATTGCAATCCCATATAACTTCGGCCAACTTTGTCTCTGCCTCTGACACCATGAAACAGATGTTAGGAGTGGAAATGACCTTTAAAGGAATCTTCATACGTAGTGTCTGTCGTGATAATTGCAGTACGATTACTTCCATGTTAGCTGAAATAATCAAAACCATATAAAACAGAAACCTTGCAATTTTCATCTTAATAAACAACACACCTGCTTCTGGAATTTGAATGGATTCTGAACTTGGCGTGCTACTCATATTTATCATCACGCTTATCTGCAGGCTCAACCTGTGCCTTCAGCAGAGTCTGTTCCATTTCATCAGGTTCCACAGAAGGGCCTTAACAACGAAACGGTCAGCATTAATTAAAACACAAACAACAAGTAGAGAAACAATAGTAATGGTTCTGTTTGTTTCACTACATAAAAGTGTGTAGCCTCATTATTTCAGTAGTCTAATGGGGGAAAGAAGAAGAATGGGACTATTGAAACACTTCCCTCTCCCTTCCCAAAGCTGCTTGCAGATCAGTTCAATTTCCCTGTTACTGTAACTATGATGCCACATCACTGGTCTTTTGGGGGCAGTTTAACTTCAGTATGAGCTTTAGACATAACCTATGTGTCTCCCTAGCATGAGGATGCCAACCATTGCGTTCTTTAATGACTGTCATAGACATTGTGTGTGGATGTCAGTGTGTGCATGCACACACACACACACACACACACACACACACACACACACACAAAATATTGACCGAACAAATCATATGGAATTTTTGGGAGAAAGCCATGCAAATGCTCAATCAAGAAAAAGTCACCTTCCAATGACAGTAAAGTGTGGTGGACTTTTAATGTGTCCTAACCCTCCTCTCTGAAGGCTAAGACAGGAAATATTTGAGGTTATGTTCCAGAGGGTTTTTTCTTTTGTATTGTCTGGTTTTGTTTCCTCCCGTTGCCAGTATGGCATAACATGTGAGGCACAAATACACCTCAACCACCTATAAGAATTCTCTTTCCTTTGCTTTTCACCTTCAACCTCCATGGGTTCTTCACACTCAGTCTCCATTGAACTTGCAATGTCAGCACATTCCGATGGCGGCTGCTCTTTGGGGGTTTGTTGTTCCCTGCACTCTTGGACCTATGGGTGCGAGTGTGCAAATGCAGAGTTAGAATAGAACATGCAAAGACATATTTCTCTGTGTGTAAATCCAAACTTAATTAAGAATAAGGCATTTTACAACAGACAAATGCCAGATTACTTTAACATTTTCATACCAGATGGAAATAAAATATATCTTCTTGAAAGCCTTAAAAACGTATGCACAAACACATTGCAAAATACACACTTCCCACTAATTTGAACGAACAAAGAATATACAGATTTCAATTCGTCCCAGAGCAAACCGATCCTTTCATTACAATTTGCACAGTCTTTTTGTTGTTTTCATTCGTGTCAACGTTTAATAACACTGGTGCACATCACACTAATCTCTTCCAATGAACAACGCCCCAGATGATTTTGGAATTTAGTAGTATCTATACTGGAATGGAATGAGAAATCCACTATTAAGAAGCATAAAGGAAGTCTTTGGGCAAAATCTGCCAGTATAACAGCATATAGATCTAGGCAAAATGAGAATGTATTTCTCCACAGCTAGTGTTTCCTTCACTGTCTTTCATTATTGTTTACGTCAGCATGGAAGGCTTTATCAAAATACCCATACTAATTTTAAAATGTTATAAAATGTCAATGTTGGTAGCAGAAGACAAAAATTGACCAACTCACAACCACGTCTTCAACCTCCTGAGGACTCTCCTGGTCCCTTCGTCTTTTTCTAGATTTCACCTTTTTTTCCACAGGACCACTCATATTTCTCACTAAAAACAGAACATCACAATTGGAACAATGCACATGAGAAAATAGCTACTTCCAGGCCAAATTTTTGCCCCCTTTATACTGTGAAACACTTTTCCAAGAAAAAGTCAAAAGATGATTCTAAGATGCAGACTTTCTGATGAGATGATTAAGACAGTGGTCTGCACCATAAATACGCAGGCATAGAAATCATCTTCAAGCACATGTCAAATGAAATTAAGCATTTCTGAGTCCCATTATGCAGGAGTATAGAAAACTATCGCTAGAGAATGCAACCTCAAATCCACACTTCCTTTGTCCCAAATTCCCCAATGAAAAATTTCCGCTGAGCGGCAGAGCCTCCCTCCCTTATTTCTGTTTCTCTCTGTGGCCACTGGTTCACCTTCCAGGATGAGCATGTGATGTTGCGACAGAACACCGCTCACTCCCATCGCTGTGCACACCTAACTGGGGCTGCGCCAGAATCAGGGTGTGGGTTCGACCCCTCATTGTATCCTGTTTCCCAGGATTTGTGCTCATCGCCCCAACACACATGCTCTGCTCTGTGTATCTTCCTAATTGTTGAGAATCTGCTCTGGGAACCGTTGCCAGAGCCCCTGGGACGAACATACCCCCAGCACCTTCCCCAAGCCTCACCCCAACCTCACTGACACCCCACAAGATCCTGCCCTGTCCCAACCACACCACAAGGACAAGGGGCCCGGCAATGCGCCCCCTGAGGAGAAGGGGACCTCTCCTTTCCCTCACAGCACCATGACATTCAGCACCCCAATCCTCCCTCCTCCTCCTCACACCCACACTTCAAATTCTAGGACAGTCAATATGGAAAACCAACCGGGTGTCTGTATTTAATTTTGCACTGTTTTGATTTAAGGTGGACTCTAGGTTGTAACTCATGCTTCCCAAGAATGAAGACCCTGGAAGGCCATGTTAATTAATCTGGTTTGAGAACACCTCAGACAAAGTTTCTTTGGAGATCTCCCCAATCACAATGCTGGACTCAGAACCCTAACCAAGAAAGGAGAGAAGACAGAACAAGTCAACCAACCATCTCAGCTGTATCTTAGCAGTGAAATACGGGGCAAACAGAGACTCTATGATGGACTCTGTCAACCAGTGGATTCTTCAAAGACCTCATAGTGCTTGGAGTGGCAAGATTGGCAGCTATTCATTACTGTTTAAATATCAAAACCACTTGAGCAAGTATCTCAGAGCATACCCTATATCCGGGACCTGGGGAGGCTGGGAAATTGGGTGGGCCTTCTCCCTTAATACCCCCTTTAAACATGAAGGAAACAATATGGAAAAAATAATGGTCTTACCCACTTTCCTGTAGCCTTTGAACCTTTTTACCCTAATTAACTGTGTAAAGATTGTCAAAATATATAAAAAAAATTGATCAAGTGATGTGGTTCTTATCAGGTTTTGAGACCTGAATTGCATTCAAATGCCCACCGTGATAAATCAAAGCAGATAATCCCTTTTTTTCTAGCTTTCCTTCCTCCCTCCTTCTTTGCTTCTTTCCTTTCTTTCTTCCTTCTTTCATCCCTCCCTGCCTCCTTGCCTCCCTTCCTCCCCTCCCATCCTGCCTTCTTACCTTTCTCTCTCTCTTCAATATAAATTTTTATAGAAGGAGGGGTTCTGTGCTCCTCCTTCCCTTTTTCCCTCCCCATTTCTCCCTTCTACTCTTTTTCCATATGTTGTCATGAAAGTACATGCACCACAACACTGGGTCAATACATGCTGCAATTCAATAACTGCACACATTAGCCACCACTCTAAGTCACGACCCTTTCTCCTATGTCTCAAAACACACAGGTGGCAGGCCAAAATCTGGGCACTGCTTGGCATTGCTGTCTCTGACACGTCCCAGCTTCCCAAAGCCTCCAGAAAGCTCTGCTCCACTGATACAACAACAGCCCTCACCTGGGCTGTGCCCTATCCACTTCTGCTTGAAAACCCTTCTCCCTGCAGATAATGGGTTCCCTGCCCTTTCAGCCATCTTGGATGCCTCCATGCCCATTCTTTTTTAAGGCAACATGTTTCCACCATTTTCCTAGAGAAAAAAGTCTCATGTAATGCTGACTTTTAGCATATCCTATAATCAATCAAATGATAAGAATACTATGTCACAACAAACCTTTTCCTCCAGTTTTTGTTGCGTTTTTCTTAGAGGTGATTTAAAATCTACTTTTTCATTTATGAAAATCAGCGAAATAAATTGAGAGAAAGAGAGCATTGGAGTCACTGAGAACGAGTGCTCCCATCTGCTAGGCCCCCTCCCAAAAGAGCAAAGATCTGTGCCAGGGCTCAGGTCAGCTCCACGTCACAAGCCACAAGCTGGAACCACTATTCCTGTCTCCCAGGAGCTGGAAGAAGCCCATCAATATGCATTCTACTGCTTCTTCCGGGATCTGGATTGACAGAAAGTTGAAGGCAGGGCTGATCCCTGAAACCGTTGAGTAAGGCACTCCCACGGGAGTTTCATGCCTGCTCATCACTTAAATAAGTGCTTGCACTTGTTACAGCTTTGGATTATGGAGTATTTCATTTAATTTTAATTGTGTCGACCTCTGGACACGGATGAGAACATATCCATGCAGCCATAATGGCAGTGAAGACCTGCATTGTTTCTGCTGTCACGGAATTAACCAGAGCTGGAATGGTCACCTCCCTCTCTGAGGAATAAAAGTTTTCATTTGACGTGGAGGTGACTGAAAACAGCAGTGCTGTCACCACAGGGAAGACCCACATGCCCTCCCGGTTAGGAAACTCCTTACCTGAGCGTCTTGGATCAGCACTGAGACTGAAGTCAGGTCTCTGATGACAAGGAGGGAGCTTCTGAGTGATATCAAAATGCCGTATAAAGCCTTCTTTGTCATTTTTGTGCAGCAGTTTCCATGAGCCCATCTGGGGTTGGGCTTGTTCCATAGTCTTCAAGGAAGACTAGCTCTTCTCATCCTAGTTGTTACATAATGACCACAATGTCCTTTGCAGCAATGCTATCTATTTCTAGTATTGCATGCTGTCTTAGCAATGGGAACACTTCGTTCAATATGTGACAAGGTGCAGCCTTGAATATGCTAACAAACACAAAAAACCTCATGGAAACGTTACATTGCTGTTTCCACCACACATACTTCAACTGCAAACTCAGAACATGCTGTACTCTTAGTGATGAGTGCTGGCACCAGTCCCATTCAACTTGGTACATCTTGCCTGGGAATCAGGGTAAAGGAACCTACATGAGTAAGGCTGGGGTTGGATATGTCCTTATGTTCCCAAGTCAGGGAGTCTGGGAGTGAGGTTGCATTTCAGGGTTGTGTCTTTCATGGTGGATGGATCCTGGAGGAGGAACTCCAGTCCGTCACAGGGACCCATATTTTGTTCTCTGAAATTTTCAAACCCCTTTGAGGTAAGTCAGTCATCTCAACTCAGATCTCACAATGCCCCATTTCCTCCTTTGTTATGTTGGAGGTGAAGCAACTTTTCACAATTTCTTTTTGATACTGATAGTAAAGAACCCTGTGAAACTCATGGGTACTGAGGTTCCTTATAGGCCAATGTGTTTCAGGCTGCAGCACCCAGAGGTGCACTCAACAATGGGGTGTGGTGTAGGCTGGGCTTGGCTGCAACAATCTCAAGATCATAAAAAGGCCAGGATGGCGAGGCAAACTATGACAGGTAAGAGCATAGCAATCGCTGGCACATGTGAGATCTGAGTCTGGTAATGCACCTGGTGGAGGAATTAAGGAAACTTCCCTGGTGGGATGCAGCTCCCACTGGATGGCATGTGATTTAGGACTGGTTGTTGGTCAGACCAGGCAAGGTAGCTAACTCCCATTGCCAACTTATAAAGCTTCTTAACAAAACAAGAAATACATGCAGGAGTTCAAAGAATTTAAGGGATATGTCAAGTAGGAAATAGCAGCACTGAAACAAAATCAAGCTGAATTATTATAAATGAAGGGACAATGGAGCAAAATAAAATCCAGTCGAAAACATCAATGATACAATAAGCTAGACAGAAGTAGAATCTCCGAATTGGAAGACATTTACTTCAACAGTGGGGGGATGGTTAAAAAAGCTGGAAGAGAAACTGAACAAAGCTAAGAAAAAGTATGAATTAAGGGGCACTACTAGAAGGCTGAACATAAAAGTTATGGACATTCCAGAAGGCACAGAAAGAGAAGCTGAGCTTTAAGATGTGTTCCAT